TACAAATTTAAGCTCATAAATCAATATCAAACTATATATTTTTTGGTCAATGTAAGTCATGTGCTAGAATAGCACATACGTGCGAAATATATTTTCAGATATATTTTCAACGTGAAAAAACTTTACTTAGTTTTCTAGAGGTTTAGTATTGAGTAATTTTTATTATAAATTCAATTGTAATTTGATTTGCTTTATTTAATGTTTATGAAAAAAGTACAAAAACTAAAAACTTATGAAACACATGTTTTTTATATGAAAAATAATACATGTGTTCGAGGGTAATGAGACGCGTCAGCGTGTTGTGCGTGTAAAACACTATGTAATGGTTAATCGGTATTTTGCTTTCGTAGAAAAGCAAAATTATATTCGCTATTGCGTGGCTTTAGTCAATATGCGTTGACTCGTTCTATGCGTGCGGGAGCCAAAAGTGAAAAGTGTTATTGACTACACATGTGTTTCGCAATTACAAATTAGGTTACCACTTTTGGAAATCGTTTGCTTACACCATATCACGCTCGCTCACAGTATCCATCAGTATCCTTGTGACCATTAAAGAGGACAGACGTGTTAACTATTTTTTATACAAAAATATTTACTATTTTCATAACAATTTTAAATTGTAAAATGAAGTTAAAAATAAATTTTTTTAATGTAAGTTTTATACATCGTGTGTGTGTGGTGTGGTGTGTATGTATGTGTGTGTGTGTGTGTGTTTATGAATAAAAGTGATACAAAGTCACAATAATAATTAACAACGCTTAAAAATTAAATAAATTATAAGATATGCTATTTATCAGCTTTTTTCATAATAACACACACAAAAAACTTTAAGGAAGGTCCGCATAGCGCTCTTTGCGACGAGGAATTTTATGATGCCGTTGAGACTGGTTTGGACAAAATCGAAGAAGAGAATCAGTTGAGAGATCGTTTGAAACAAAAATCCGTTTCAATTGTAACATCTCCCGCTACTACATCATCTACGCACAGACTGTGGCCCGAGGTAATTTTATACAAACAAATGTTTTTAATAATATTTTCATCGAGAAGAGTCAGGTGTTATTTTTATTCTCGTCATTTTTCAGATAGAAAAAATTACAATGGAGCAACTGCATTACGCACGGCTTGGCGTTGGCGGAGCGGGCGGATGGCAATTGTTTGCCGAGGACGGCGATATGCGAATGTATCGGCGGGAAGAGGAAGCCGATGGATTGGTCGTGGATCCTCTCAAAGCGTGTCACGTTGTCAAGGGAGTGACCGGTCATGAGGTTTGTGAAATATTTTTCAGTCCCGAGTACAGAAGCGGCTGGGAAGCTACTCTGGAAGATATGACAGTTATTGAGAACATTTCCCACGACACGCTGTTATTCTTGCAAACGCACAAACGCATTTGGCCGGCGAGTCAACGAGACGCGTTGTTCTGGTCGCACATGCGCCGAGTATCCGACGATCAGGATCGCGACGCTCATGATCTTTGGATAGTTTGCAATCACAGTACCGAACATCCCGATTATCCGGTACGTGACACACGTGACACGGCTTTTTAATATTTGCTATTTATTCATTTCTTCAGAAAAAAATGACATTTTAAATGAGTTTACGTGATCATCATTTATATTGCAGCCAAATACAGGTAAATGCGTGAGAGTTTATTTAACAGTTTGTCTCGTATGCCAAACATGTATCGATCCTCCAAAAGATGGCGAGGAAATAAAGAGAGAGAATATTACGTGTAAAATAACATATTGTTCAGTTGGTGAGTATTTAATCGATATATATATATAATATAAATATATATATATATTATATATATATTT